CTCGGTAAACTTCTCTAAAAACCTGTTGTGAGACCCAGGTTCTAGCTCTAACATGGAATTGAACACCTATTTTTGATAGGGAATTTAAGTTTTTCAAGCATTGCTGGAAAGCATTGCAGTTGATGGACTAGAAATTACCAGTGTTAAGAATTACTTGCTGTTTTCAACAGTATTGCATTGCCTGCTGGTGAGCTTTAAACTGAAAAGTATAGGCTTGAAAACCTTTGGCAAAAAAAACCCTGCATGTATTTGTTATGAATAATCCCATTTGTATTAGCTGCTAATTTTGAGTTGATCAGTAGCATATGCAGCAATGTCATCAGATAGACACAAATCCTAAAAACAGAATCCAGTATGTTGGAAGAGACTTCTGGAGGTCTCCCAATTTCAAGTTCCAGTTCAAATAAAGTCAAATTGAAGGAGGTTGCCCCATTCTCAGTCTGAGGATGGAGATTTTACAGCCTTTCTAGACAACCTTTGACATTATTTCCCCAGAGTAAAAAAAAAAAAAATCTCGGTGCTGCTGATTTTAGTTACCTTAAGTTTCTACACTCTTTATATTTCTGCAAAAAATTATTAGCTCCAAAGTTAATAAATAATTCATATCTGTTTTTTACCAAATTATAGCTGCAGTATTTTTTGCTCATTTACTTAAACTCACATCCCAACTAAAATTAAAATAAAGTTTGTCTCATTCTGCATTTGGAGATGTATTAGACATCTGCTGGCAATCTTCACTAAGCCATGTGCCAGAAGGTGCCACTCTTCTGGCAGGGGCATGAATCCAGTTGCCTCAGGCACTTTGAAATTCAGGAAAGGAGCAGGGTTGCACCTTCATTCCCTAAGGACACTGATCCAATGTGCACCAACATACAAAAAAGAGTTTATTTGGAATTACCTGATTAGGCAGAAAAAGGACACCTTTTGCTGAACAGCCTTATGAAGGGATTTCAAACTAGCCCACAGCAGCCACCCTCTTTTCATCCATGAACCACAGAGAGGTCTTGTATTACAGTAATTGTTCATATATAGTTTTGTTTTGCTGGACAATAGACTGCCACTGTCAGCTGACTGTCAGTTAACATCAATCAACTCATTAGAAGCTCTTGACTTTCTCATCCAAGCTACTCACAAGGTTTGATAAAAGAGTGCAGCAGTTCTGGGCTTGCATTCCCCCTCAGGAAACCAGAATAGGATCCAGGGAGTACTTTGCTGGTGAGGTAGTGAAGGCTAGAAGCAAGATTAGATGAAGGCATGATTTGAGTTACCCCTGCAATCATGAAAAACAACATTGAGAAGGAAGGAAACAGTATGAAATTGGGTTATTGTTACTGTGAAAGAAGAGGAGTAACACCATGTATGCAAACACCAAGGTAAACTGCACTTGGGTACAACTCATCCAAAAAATGGGGAAAAGGGGAATAGAGAAAACATGGGACTTTCCTCATCACCAGGCCGTTTGCACATCTTACAGTGTCATGCATTTTCCGTGTGCTGTTTTGAATGTAGTCAAGAGCGTAGCTAAGAATATGAGTATCAAATGCCTAAGTGTGATGCTCTCCCCTGCTACAGCACATACCTGAGGAGGTGCAGCCCATTTCTGGCATGTGCCCATTGAAGATGAATTTTTTTTTTTTAATTTCAGTTAAATTTAAAAAATGTACATTCTTGAGATTACAGAACGCAGCTTCAAGCCAACTCAGTTTCTTCCCCAATTCCTGAAAATGTTTTCACAAACCACACATATTTCTAAGAGATTTCTAAAATTACTGCAGCCTCCACAGGAGCCTGTGGAGGCTGCAATAATTTTAGAATTCCCTGTATTCTAGAATTCAAAGGCTCTCTCCAACCTAAAAATTGACAAGTCCTTGAAAAGCAGTCATGTTTCTATTTATTCTAATTCAGGTCCTAATCAGGTCTCACCATGCTTTATTACGCTAACCATTTTCTGGAATGTTATTCAGGAGAAAAACTTCCAAAATAACTGTTATAAGACATAGATTGGTGCAAATTTTATGGGAAAGGTAGGGCTCCATAGCTTTCCCTTTCTTGTGGTAAGGGAATTTGTCCCAAGTCAAATGCCAATGGTTAATGCATACACAGAGAAAACAGGGAAACACAGAGAAAAGCTGTCAGCTCATCTTGGATAAATCCAACAAATACTTTTTGGACTCCTCTTCCCCAGCAGTGGAATCTTGTCCTGTAAAAACAGGCAAGGTAAAATCTAGCTGAGGTTTTTCTTGCTGACTCACAATCCTGTCAAAGAATAGGTTCCATTTGAGACACAATGTATTGTTCTCAAAGAAATACCCATGGGAATCCACTTGTTTTCTATTGCTTCATTTTAATTTCTCAAGTGCAAACTATAAATTTCATATTAGGACAGAATGATCCCGATGTTATCTGCTTCACTCCCCAGATATTTGATATCAGAACCTAATCTCAACCTTTAATAGGAGTGAGTGAATAATAGAATTCATTAGGCTTTATTGCTATCGTAAACTGTCCTGTGGTGCACAAGGTATCTTTTATTACTTTCTTGATTACAACAAAATTGCACTTGCCTGCTGCATCAAAGTTAATGACCCAAGAGTATGAATGGAGTTGCTAGCAGCTAATAAAAGAGTTATTAAGGAAGGTATGCAATTAAATGGCTTCAATTAATGTGTTTGTCTTAGTGATAAAAAAAAATATTCTGCCATTTACAAAGAACTTCCATCATGAGAAGAGTTACAGAAGTTGTATAGTGATGTATCTGTTTAGTAATAGAATTGGCTGGTACAAACCATGATTCAGAAGACAAAGAGCAACACTTTTAAAATCAAATGTATAAGACAGAGCAATGATACACTGTCCTGAAAAATATGAATACTAATTCCTAAAACCGCATCATGGATCCAAGCTTGAACAGGTAATTTATGAGCAACTTCAGAAAAAAATATTGAAAAATATGTTTATGGACTTAAAAATCCTGAAAAGTACGCAGTGTTGTAGGGAAAGGAATAGAAAAACAAATGCAACATATCAATCTATACAGCCTGACCTAAACATATGGTGCTGGTTCATGACTGGAGTATGACCCTAGCAACCAGATGAAATAACAAAACCAATAGAAATGTTACGATAAAGAGACAGTGTGCAATTAATAGATGCAGGAAGAATTGAGTAAGAGTCCCTGGTTTAGGATTCACAGCTTGTAAATTTTTGTCACATAAGGGGTCACCAGCACATGCACCAGACCTTACACTTTCTGCCTGGTCTGTCATCCTCATGCAAAATAGGAGCTCTGGGGTTGTAAGGACACAAAGAGCACAGTTGTCTGTGTCAGACACTGCTAAGGCCACATTGTGAGAGTAGACATACTGACATGAGTCATGGGGATGACATTTGCAGTGTGCTCCAAATATATTTTGTAACTGTTGTGCTCAAGCACAACAGTTTTAATAATTTCAATAACTTACCCAGTCATACTCTTAAATCTAAATCCTGTGTAGAGTCAAGTATCTTCAAAAATGCAAGTTTGGTATTAAAACATTAAACTCTTCCTGTGTAGAATATCTAAGAGATCGGTTCAGAAAGTATTGGGCTGTGAAATAACCTGTCACAGTTGTGTATAATTAATCTAAAGTGGAAACTGGTGTGTTCAATTTGAAAACAGATAGGTAAATGCATTTTAGTCTCTTCTTGATTTGATTTTGCCCATTCATCTTGATTTAAATCATCATATGCAGTATTTCTTCTATTTCTAATTGTGTGTAACACAACACAGTTAAATTAGCATGGGTGATTAGTACTCTCATTCTAAACCCATGAAATTTCTGTTTCCTGTGGCTCTTAAACTGTAGATTAACTTCCTCCTTAACTACAAAAGCCTTTAAAATCTTTCAGACAAACAAGTGGGTGAGTTCTGAAATAATTTTTGTCTCTGCTGAACTGAGGATTAGTCAAACTATGTAAAACCTTCTAGTGAAAAACTTGTTAATACTCTGAATACGTAAAATCTCTTATTCTAATTTTACTTAGTTCATAATTTCTTCATATCTGATTTACATGTATTAAAATTTTTTTGTTTAATTTCTTCTTATATTGTGCTGCAACAACCATTATTTGGATTTAGCATTATAAAATAAGGTTTTTGTAAGCCCCCATATTTTTTCATAGTTATAAAACTAGAAGGTTGACTCTTCAATGTAGGATAACAAAACATTAGGCAAATGAAGCATAAGTTTGATAATTTTAAATCAAACAAAGTGAAAACTATTGAATTGAACCCTCTCAGGGTCACTGCTAAATAACCCTTATGATTATACTGTTCAAGTTATTTAAACAAGCCTATATTTTATCCTACAACACTCAGTGGAAAGTTACTGTGCTTTCATGAATATTTTGTTTGAATCCCTGATTTGTAAGATGAAATTTCTCTTCCATAGACTTCATACATGTGTGCAAACTATAAACTGAGCCTTGTAAAAGCAAACTGCTTGATATGAAACATCCCTTTATCCCCACCTTGTGGAAATTTTCTGCATATATTATTCGTTAGTTGAAAAATAAATTTGTGGGTGTGATCTGAATGATTCTAGTAATGCAGCTGAAATATGCAGTGTATCCATAGAGATCCTCTTGCATTCACCTTGCCATGGAGTTTTATAGCTCCAAAATGAGATTTTCAATTAGGTAAATTTGAGCTGAATCTGTTTCTGATAAACACCAGGAGAGAGGATGTGAGGGAAAGAGAGGAGATCACAGCAGGTAAAAATTCACATTCAGTTTTTGCTCCAAAGACTGGTAATTCCAAACTTAAATCTGAAACACAGATAATAAGAGGTGAACTAGGATGGATTCATGTTGTAGGACACAGCTATATGTCTGAGCATGAATCCCATCCATCCTATAAACAGTTTACTGAAGCACTGAATAATTCACTTATACAAAAAGAAACTGGGAATGTGGACAAATAATATAAATTAAAAAAATAAAATCTTAATTCTTACCTTGATCTGGGGTTGAGACTTCCAGTGTAAAACTTCTTTAGATGGCAGCTCTACTGTAAAGTTCTATTCTTCCTGTTCTCTTCTGGAAGAGAAAATATATTATCTTCTTGCATTTAATAAGCTGGAGAAATGCAGAAATGAAGAAGTAAAGTGATCCCTGGCATCACTGCATTTGGTTCTCTGCTAATATTAAAAAGAAAAGAATAGAATAATTTCAAGATCACTGTTAAGTTCTGTTTAAAAAGATATTATTTCTTCTCCCTTTCTATTTTCCCATTAGAAGGTTGTTACACAAAAGATTTACATTAAAGGCTAGGAATTTGTTTTTTTAAATTTCCAGCCTAAACTCCAGCTGTTTAGTTTCTGCTTATTTGTTCTTTTACTAGTTTTAACTAACTGACTGTGTAATTGTTTGCCCCTCACCAGAGTTGTTCACGATCATTCATGTTTTCTGTTAAGGGCAAGAACCAAAACCCATCAACCTTGATTTCCTTGTCTGAATATGACCACTTTTCCATTTACCTGGTCTTTGGAATATTTCCATGCTTTTTTTTTTGCTAGAATCAACTCCTTGAACTGCACAAAGTTCCCTCACACAGTGTCTCAGCAAAGATTTTACACAAGGCAGTCCTGTCATCATATTGAAGCACTTATTTTCAGTTAGTATAACAACAGAATCACAGTTTTGCAGGAGCTCTGTCCACTCTGCCTGTGTACAATATGTTCAGAAAAGAAATAATTATTTTTCTTGAATTCTTTATCTTGACGGATTTTACCCTCTTTTTCTTGGTAAAACTTATTTTTGATGTGGGACAGAAGAAAAACATTCAGCATAAAAATGAGAGAAAGAGGTTTCCCATTAATTTATAGCTAAAAATTTCTATATTTTAATTCACATTCTTTCCAGTCTTCCTTCAGTGAAGTTTAAAATCCAATATCTGTAGTAAATAGGGTATTGCTTATTTACAAGTCCACAAAAGTAGGGCAATTTAATTAGTCATGTAAAAAACAAAATTCAACAAAACTAACACAGACTGAAATAGTGGTCTTAATTTTTTTGTAACCAATATGTTTCTTTCTGCTATTCTTTACAGGCAAATAAAAAAACCTTTAAAAGTTGGGGTTTTTTCTAACTTTAGTGATAAACAGTGTTTTACCTCTTGTATAATGTCTTCCAGTAGGTTTTAAACATCGTGCTCCAAGCTGTATCATAATGGAAGAATGTCAAACCTTTCAAAAACACAGAACACAAGTTGCTGACACCATAAATGCTAACAAAAGGAAGATTATGTAAACAGACAAACAAATAGAGCAATGCAAGGGACCATTATCTCAATATGAGCTCAAGTAGTACAGACTGGCCACCTCTGTGCTGTCCAGCTCTGGGCTGTGCCTCTCCTCCAGCCTGGATGTGGTATATTTACAGATATAGCATAATTGTTTTCTTCTTTAGTTATTTAAACTTCAGAGTGAAAGACATAAAAGGAATGCATTTATTAATATTGCAATCAATCAGAATATTTTTACATGGGAAATTGAGGATGAGTGTTATAGATTTTATATGAAACTATGAAGATATAACTAGCAAAAGTCCTGAGGGACTGGTCAGGGACTTGATAAGTTTTTTTTTTTTTTTTTCTTTACAATTCTTTTTTTCTTTTTACAGACAAAAGCAGGCACAGTCTCATCCGTTTTGCCTAATGCACAACATCCCACAAAAACAAGCCTTGGCATTGTCTGAAAATGTATCATTTGGCAAACGGAATTAGCAGTTAAGCAAACTGAACAACCAGATACTTGGTGCTTAAGCTCACCTTGCACCTTACAGAATGCAATCTTAAGGGCAAAACACATGAAATGGCTTCCTATGGGACACTGAGCTTCTATCTTCAGGAATAGAAAACAAGTATTTCATTGGTGCACTGCTATGAGCTCGACAAAGCATCAGTGTTGGGTGTAGGGCTGGTGGCAGAGGATAGAAAAACCTTGGAGCTTGGGCTTGCAATGCTTTTCTGATGCATCACAATATCAATAATTTTAAATTATTTTTTATCATTATATAACAGTGATCACCTAAGTTTTATTTTATCTTCTTCAACAAATTTCTAAAGGCATATTTTATATGCTGAAATCTGCAAAACATTTGAAAGAAACTGCATATAATCATCAGGACCAGTGGTCTGGAGGTATTCCTATTCGATTCATTTCTGTTTTACATATTTAAAGACCTCTTGCTTTTTATTCCTCAGCTACAAATTTTTCATTCACCCTATAAGACCTTTGCACCCTTTTGATATCCTGGTAGAGAGAGAGAGAGAGAAATCCCTGCTTTCATTCATCTCTTTGCTGAGGATGTATGCCATCCTCACTCTGACTAAAGCAAGATTCTGACAGCTGCCTTCTACTTTTTTTTTTTTTTTTTTTTTTTCCTAGTAACACAGCTATGTAGAGGTTTTTACGTGAGTATGTAAGCAAGAGATTTTGGGAGTGGCAGCTATGTAGAACAGAGACCTAAATAGACCTCCAGCTGACATTCTGGCATAACATGTAATCCCACACTTGTTTCTTTATTCATTTGAGTATTTGCACAAGTAAAAGGACAACACAGATTGTGTATTATTGCTATTTTTATTTGGCTGTTAAATTGGTCTGAAGGTTTGGTCACTTGGGTTTGGTATTCTTTTTCAATCTCACAAAAAAGCTACCCCATTCTTACTTAAACACTACATCAGATACTGAGTATTTTCTCCTTGTTTACAAAGTACAATATTACAAAACCTACAAAATCCAATGGGTAACTATTCCAGTCACTCTGTGTGACAACAGCAGGTGGCAGCAAGCGATATGGATTTAGACTTTAGGGAAAAAAAAAAAAACTAGGGCTTGCAAAGCATGAATACAGTATGGGACAAGTTATTTTCTACAGAACCGACTCCTCTCATGAAAACAGTTTCCTCTAATCCAAACTGCTATTTGGGATTGTGTTCCTAAAATATTTTTGATTGAACATGAAATAAAGTAGTTTCGTTTGGTTTAGTTTTACTCACCCCAAAGCTATCTGGCTGGTTAAATTTAAAATTATTTTTAGAATTCTAAGCCTTTAAACTATTTCTCTAAGAATAGACAAGATACGATGTCAGCATTCCTAATCTCCTAAATGAAGCCCCTGAATGCTCTGAGAGCTTTGTGAAAATCCATGTTATGGAACAACAAAATGACAGACAAATCTGCACTGCACTGTGCCAATCCTGCAAAGAGATACTGGTGACTTCAAATTCCATTCAAGTGAGGAAAGGCAAAATAATATGATGACTGAATAAAATATTCAATTTCAGAAATTCTGAAACAGAATGCAGTGAAAATATGAAAGGATAAGTGAATTTTTGTGGGTTTTTTTTTAATTTTTGGAATTTAAAAAATGCAGTTTCCACACATGGAGAAAACAATATTTCTGAATTTCTCTAATTTCTGGTTATCACTTCTCTATGCCTATTTTTGTATGCTCCAGGTAATCTGAATAGAATAGGCCAGAAACACTTGCAGGACACTTGGCAATCTGTCATAATTTCATTTGCTGTGTATGCAATAATTGTGCTGCTTGGCATTGATTTTCAGGTTGTTGCTAAACAAACACAGGATGAAAAATGCATTTCTGAAAGCTGGAAAACTACACTGAAATGAAGATGGAATGTGTAGAAGGAAACTAAGAGATAATTGTAGCCAACATGAAGGGCTGCATACACATCCTCATATATAAGGAGGCAGAGCAGAGCCACCACAACATTTTAAAGAAATTCTCAACTTGGAATGAAAAAAAATTATCCACAGACAGGTAAAATTGCAGAAACTAAGTGCCACTCCAAAAAAAAAAGAAAAAAAAAAAGGGTGATAGGAAAAATTGGGAATACTATGTTAAATATGAGTACATAGAGAAAGATTTTTTTATAATTATATTTAAAAATCCATGCCATGTCCCTCGAATCTTCCAGGCTAAGCTGTATTTTCCTCCTTGACATTATCCCCTGTTTTTGCAACAACAGTGAGCTTAGTTTTGGCACGTTATGGTCCTTTGCACTGCAACTCATATAGTCTGGGGTCATTTTCCTAAAGACACTAAATTTCCAAAATTTTCTTTTTTTCTCCTCCAACTGAAAGTTCTTTGATGCCATCTCCATTCCAACATGTTTGTAAGTCCTTCTTTGCTGTTTTGGCCTTCAGCGGGGATCAATTTTGGCAAGCTTTGCTGCATGTGCTGCACTTGATGGTATATGGCCTGCCTGCATTTTGATGCCTTTGACTTTGGGAAAGATTTTTTTTTTTAGGTATCCATGCCATTTCCCTCACATCTTCCCCCTTAAGTTGTGTCTTCCTCCTTGACTTTTTCCCATGCATTTGTAGCATCTGTGAGCTTAGTTTTGGCATGTTTGGTCATTTGCACTGCAAATCATATGGTCCGTGGTCATTTTTCTAAAGACACTAAATTTCCAAAATTTTCATTTTTTCTCCTCCAACTGAAAGTTCATTGATGCCATCTCCATTCCAACATGTTTGTAAGTCCTTCTTTGTAAGTCCTTGTTTTCTGTTTTGGCCTTCAGCGGGGATCAATTTTGGCAAGCTTTGCTGCATGTGCTGCACTTGATGGCATATGGCCTGCCTGCATTTGGATGCCTTTGATTTTGGGAATAATTTTTTTTTTTTTTTTTTTTTTAGTATCCATGCCATGTCCCTCATATCATCCCCCCTAAGTTGTGTCTTCCTCCTTGCCTTTTCCCATGCATTTGTAGCATCTGTGAGCTTAGTTTTGGCATGTTTGGTCATTTGCACTGCAGCTCATTTCTGCCCAGGCTATTTTATGAAGACTCTAAAACTCTGGATTTTCAGGTTTTTCTGAGGAT